CGCACCGGGCACTGCCCTGAGTGCCCCCATCCCACACACGCACCGGGCACTGCCCTGGGTGCCCCCATCCCACACACGCACCGGGCACTGCCCTGGGTGCCCCCATCCCACACACGCACCGAGCACTGCCCTGGGTGCCCCCATCCCACACACGCACCGAGCACTGCCCTGAGTGCCCCCATCCCACACATGCACCGGGCACTGCCCTGGGTGCCCCCATCCTACACATGCACTGGGCACTGTCCTGAGTGTCCCCACCACACACACGCACTGGGCATTGCCCGGGGTGCCCCCTCCCCGCATACACACCAGACACTGCCATGGGTGCCATCACCCCACACACATACAAGGCACTGCCCTGTGTCCCCACCCCACACACGCACCAGGCACTGACTTGGACACGTGTCCTGGCAAAGTGCAGCTGGAGCCTAGGGAGGCGCCCTGCAGCTCCCTGGCTTCCCATGGCCTCCAGGCTGTCCTGGGTGGACAGAGATCCACCTACTTCTGCTTTCTCTCAGGCCTGAGCACAGGAGCTGGGGGCTCCACCCTGACAACACAGCCCCCTGCCTCCATGGCTGTAAGCTCGTGGGCCAGGTCTTTGGGTGATGGCCACGGGGCTATATCTCCAAGGAAGAAAGAGGCAGGGCACTAAAGTAACCAAGGTGCAAGCCAGTTAGGGTGGTGTCATTCAAAATCACTTTTCTGTGGCTCCACGGTGATTTCCTTTCTACTCAGGGCCTCACTAAGCAAGACTTGGAGAGGGGTCATCTTAAGGAGCCTTTCTACATCTCTTAGCCCCCATCTGTCTCCTGGGTTCACACATTTGTCATTTATTGGTGAGACTCCAATTAAGTGGTGGCAGCCACCAGAGGTGAGCAAGGCAGCTCTGTGCCTTGCTGCTGCTCCAATTGCCCCCTCCTCCCCCCAGGTATGCTACTAACAGTCACATTGCCTTGTTCGCCCCATGCTCCCAGGTTGCAGGGGTGTGTGAAGATCCTAGCTACCCCTTTGTGCTTCAAGACCAAGTAGGTTTAAAGTGAAATGGAGTTTTCTTGGCCAGGTGCACAGCCATGGAGAAAGCATGCCCCAGCTACAACAGTCCTTGAGAAGCCAATGCCAGCCATGTGCTGCGTGTCAGGAGACTCTGACCAAGACTTGCCACTCCACAGTGAGGAAGAAATGTCATTTTTATTCTGATTCTCATTCTGCCAGCCCAAGACATCAGGCAATCCTTTCTGCTATTCCCTGTATTGTATAAAGCAGATAGAACCAATGGAACACAAGAGAACTAGAGGCAGACATTTCAGCTCATAGTCCCCAAATGTGCTCTTTTTCCACTGAATAAAATGACTTAGAGTTCCTCTCTTTCCAGTATCATCAATATGCACCAAATGGGAGGGAAGCCCACCTCCCAGGAGTAAGAGGGCAGTTCAGTCTCTGCCTTTAGCTGCGACTGACAAGCGCCAAGGATGATAATTGTATGTCATGAACATTTGCCTGCTGGAAAGTAGACTGAGATCAAGCTCATTTCCCGTAGGGGAAGATATAAGATGTGAATGACTTTCAGGCAAGTTGAATGGGCACCAATATGAATCAAAGGCCAAGAGGCAAAGGGCTCCATTTCTCATTATCTATCTCCTGAACCTGCCTGTAGCCCTTAAGATTCACTGTTAAAAATAGAAAGATAATTCTGTCCAAGTCCCACACTGGTAGAGATAATATCTTCCCCAAGAAATAAACGGTATTTCCTTTGATTAGAATAAAACAGCAGTTTTTAAACCCTCCTTATCCCATGCACGGTATTAAAGGTGTAATTTCCTTGTGCAGAAAGCAGCTTCTTGCCTTAACCCACTGGGAAATCTTTTTGGCTTCTGGACACCTGCCATCTGACGAAATAAGCTACTTCACTTCTCTTTGCCCAGATCCAGTGCCAGCACTTTTAGTGAAATCTGTTACTGCAGAAAAATATGGGCTCCAACATTTATCATCCGAAATAGAAGGCATTGGAAGAATGCTGTCTGACATCTCAAATAGTGCAGCGTTTTAAATCAAATAGCAAGGCCTCTCTTGGAATAATGTGTCTGTTTTATGTTTACATTCTTCTGGGTTGCAGCCCTGCTGCTCCGCAACACGATCGGGTCAGATCTTAGAAGCTAAAGTGATCTTAGGCCACTTGTCAGACAGGACAGCCCCTGCATACTGGTGGTTTAGAAGTCAGTGATTTTCTACCAGTCATTTATGAATCAAGAGAGAGGAGATAGGGAGCCCTGCTGGTTAACTGGGGTTCTGTGGGTCCTTTCCACAAAAAAGAAATGCAAAACCCATTTTGGGTGCTTATGTACTAACACCCCACCTTCTTCCCACCACCACCACCACACTTTCACTTGTCTATAATCCTCCTCTCTACTTTCCCTAGCTAGCAATTTGACATTGTTGTGTGCTATAAGTAGCTGCTGTGAAGTGCTGCTCAGAGCTGATTGCCTGCAAAGAGATCTCATCCTACTGCCTCCCTAGGTGCAGCCTAATTAGTTTATGTTTGTAAAGTGCCAAGTCGTTTCCCTCTCCCCGCTTGGATCAAGAAAGGTAAAGAACTAAAAATTATTGCCATCATAGCCTTTATTCATAGCGATACATCCACAGGTTAATCTAAGTTCTTGTGGCTTGTTCCATTTTCCTGAAGAGGCTTCAATATGGAAAGAAGTGTTTCTTCTACCACAGGTCACCAAGACATCTTCCTCTTCCTTTGTACTTCCAGCCCAAACAGTGGTGGTAACTTTGGGGACATTGCTGGCTGAAGCAGTATGTTCCATATCCAAGAATCTGTTGCAAACAGCCAGCATAAATGGACTGGAGACATTAGGATATGAAACTATGGCTTTTTCAAAGAAGTACCTGCAAGGGTGACTAATAAAGTAATAGTAATCCTCTCTTATCCCCTGGGGTCTGCTGTCCTTATGGGTGAGATTGTTGGGGTCTGCCTGGCTGGTATGTCCATTTACCCATTTCCAGGTCTCAGTTACGCCCAGGATCATTTTGGTTTCCTTCAGTTATATCATGCTTCTTCTGACCACATTAACTAGATCCCAGTTTTCACAGTGCCTTGTCCTGTGCAAAGCTTGCCAACACATCTAGCCATTCTCATCTTTCCTGTTGCATAAGGAGTTAGAAGAATATTTGCTTGTACCTCTATTTCCAGGAGAACCATAGTGAAATGTATAATCCCGGAAGATAATATCAGGATCATTCTGCAGTCTGTGGCACAGATATCAGTAACTTTCCCAGTGATGTCAGATAGTATTGTAATCAGTGCCCTGTTTCCTATAGCCCAACTCATACAGAGCCTCAGTGGGACTGCTTTTGGAACAAGATCCTACTCTGCTGAATCAGGTGGGAGAATCAAGTCCATAAGAAGCAACCACGTGATAATAAACCCCACAGGCCATCTCCCAGGAGCAACTCTCCAAAACTAATTGGGGATGTGTCATACAGGGAGAAAAGAGTTAAGGACAGTAACATGCTTTGATGGAGTGCTTTGAAGCATGCAGTTGCCTGCACTTTGAAAACTCCTGAAGATTGCAAGCTCAGAGCCTTTGTGACAGGAGGGCTATAGCAGGTAGCTCAAGACAATACAGTCCATATTCCCAGGGCACCTCTGTCACACAGACACCCACCTATATCAGTTATTCCTCAAACTTTAACCCAAGAACAATCCATGAAGGGTTAATTCACAGGTCTGAGAAGGTGCCTTCAGCTCACTGCTGCTCCTTCCACGTTGCATTCTTTCTTTTTAGGCTGCCTGTGACTTAGTTTCCTGTCGCTGCTTGTGGTTCCAGTCTTGCAGCACCTGTGTCTTTTCCCAGGCCCTAAGAGTCACTGACCAAGCAAACCTCTCCCTCCCTCTGACTTCCCCTCCCTGGGAGCCTTTTGAGTTCCTGTGGCTGCTAATTATCTCCCTCAGCTGGCCCAGTCCTTCTGAGTAGCCTGTACTGGGCAGTACTGCTCACAGCAGGGCTGGAGCCTCTGGTCCTTTAGCCTGCTACAGCCTG